TCTGGTTTGGACATGTTTTTAGTCAAGTGTCTGTGTTCTCTTTGGGTGAGCAGTCTACCAATGAGGCCAAACTCCATCATTCCAGATCACGTGTGTGCATGTTCAAGGGTGGGGGTTTGCTATAGTTCAAGCTGAGGCTAAAAAGGGGATACCTGTGTGGCTGGGCGAGAGACAACATCTCTTCTCCCCTTTCTTGGAGAACATGCAGTATCACTCTCCATAACAGTCTTTGCTCCTGCCCAGGAGGAGCGTCTAGACCGCTGGACAAAGGCTAACATTTGTGGGGTCATCTTTTCCTGATGGGTGGGGCTACTGTGATTCGGGATCAAGAGCCAGATTGGCTGCTTCTTCTCTGATTCCCAACTTCAAACAGATTGCTCCTCTTCTACGTCATCTCAGAGGGGAGCACATTTGGTTCAGACCCAGGACTATCTTCTAGAAGGTTCACATCTGTGTAGTTGAGCTGCCCAGTCCCATCTCAGCAGGCAAGCTTTGGACATGTGTATGTGTGTGGTGATATGTTCCAATACCCACATTTGGGAGTGTCGGAAGTCCTGTGTATTTCCTTGATTACTTTCTGAATTCTCCATCGCAAATGCTAGGAAAGGCTGTGGTTTGGGAGCTGGAATGTACCAGAGTTGATGAATAAACTTGATATTTGCTTCCCATTTGGCTGTGATCTTGTATGCCCACGTCACTGATTTGGGCACCTGTCATCATGGAAAAGGTGTGATAAGAAGTTGAAAAAGCATAAACACTGTGGAAAAGCTCAAAGGTAAAATCCTTTAAGTTCAGAGACACAAGGAATGCTCAGGACAACACAACAGAGAAGTCGTTTAACCCCTAACAGGACTCACCATCACAGCGCTGGGGCAGGCTAACGCTGAGGGAGCCTTAGGAGACGAGGGGCCTTACGTGCACGGGGGCCCAACTGCATGTTGGGAGCTGTTTGAACACCTTACATACAGTATTTCATTTAATTTTCATGACAAATGAAGGACCTAATGAGCCGGATATGATTATTCCCACTGACTCAAGGCTCAGAGAGGTCAAGGCACTGGCCCAAGGCCACAGGGTGACTTAGTAGCAGATTTGGGATGAGAATTAATGTCACTCAAGTCCCATTATAAAAGCCTGGAACTAGCCCCCGAGAGAATGAAGTGCTCCTCCCTGGAGGGGTTGGCACCGGGGAGGACAGCCCTGTCCCTCAGGCCTCCATGGGCCAGATGGACTGTGGTGTCGTCCTATGTAGTGGTCCCTTTCTGAAGTACACAGAAGAGACAATTTTCTGCTTGGGGATAAAGTTCAGAAGGTGGAACTGGGTGGTGCGGTGCTGGCTGCCTGCCAGCTGTGAACAAGGAACCAGAATACCTGGAATGTGGTATGAGAGCCAAGACAGAGCAAGGCCCCAAGTTCATGTACTTCTAAAATTTTAATTTAATTTAATTTAATTTAATTTAATTTAATTTAATTTAATTTAATTTAATTTAAATAGAGTGAGCAGGGGAGAGGGGCAGAGAAGGAGAGAGAATCTTAAGTAGGCTCCACACTCAGCATGGAGCACGACGTGGGACTCAATCTCACAATCCTGGGATCATGAGCTGAGCTGAAATCAGGAGTCGAATGCTCGACCGACTGAGCCACCCAGCGCTCCCTTCGTTCATGTACTTTTCTCTGGGTGTTAGGAGGCCTTCATTTTTACACTTTTAGCGCCATGGAGAGCTTGCTGTGGGGAATAAGGACATATCACTCTTCCTTCCCTTCAAGGTAAAACCTCTTGGAGGTTTTCCTTAGTCCTATTCAAATAGAATATGTGCCTACGAGTGCTGGCACCCTCCTTAAATAGTGGGATTGGAGAGAGACTCAGGACTTGTGCTCATCCCTGAGGTCTTGACTCAGCTGTCACCTCTTCCTACCTTTGGACTGGGCTGACACCTCTGCGAGAACATCCTCTGTGTTCATTAGTTCTTCCTTAAGGTGCCTTTCAACTGTTGTCTAGTAAGGACAATACTAACACTTATACACTCATACTGTGTGCCCGGTATCAGTACAAGTATTTTGTATTTATTCATTCATTCAATCTTCGCAACATAGGTATAGCGTAGGTATCATTATGTTTTGGAAAAAAAAAAAAAGGTTACTTATTTATTCTGAAAGAGAGAGATACAGAGCGAGCAGGGGAGGGGTGGATCCCAAGCAGGCTCCACCCACACGGTCAGCATGGAGCCCCACATGGTCTCCATGACTACATTTCTAGCTTTCCTTGGAGTAAGTGTGGCTATTTGACTATGTTCTGGCTAAGGAGACGTCAGTGGAAAGATCATAGGATGCTTTCCGGAAGACTCCTTTAAAAGGGAAGAATCTGGTCCTTCTCCCTTTCTTCCGTCTTGCTGCCTGGACAGCAGATCTGGTAGCTGGAGCTCAAGCTGTCATCTCAGAACAGGAGAAATCACATCCTCGGAATGACAGAACCTTCATGCTACCCTGAGTTATCTACCTCTGGATTTATTTCTCGTGAGACAGAAGTAAACTTCTGTCTTGTTTAAGCCACTGTTAGTTGGGTTTCCTGTTACTTTCAGCCCAGTCTAATCCTAATTGACAGCATTAAATATGGGTAAGAGCTAAGGTCAATAATTGTTTGTGAATTGACAGTGAGTCCCCAAGAGAAGCCTGGCTTGTCCTCTCTCCATCTCTCAGGTACTGGTGAGAGAGAATCTCGGGTTTTCACAAGAAAATGTCCTGGAACCCTGAAATGCCTTCTTGTGCCTTATGGGTCTGGGCAGGTTTGCATCTGGAAAATGGGTTGTGCCTGGAACATGGTTCTCAGGTATGGGGTCTGGGCTCTATTGGCCTTCCTCCTCCAGCCACACAGGGACAAACCAAAGGGGCAGAGCCAGCCTTAGGTTCTGAACATGGGCCTCTGCATCGGCTTTGCCCCACTGAGGTGAGCTGAGGAAGCCCCAGAAAGTCCAGAAGGATCAGTGAGGTGGACTGATTGCCTCTTCTGTTATTCTTGTTGCTGCTACTGGCGCGCTTTGAAATTAATTGATGGTTTCCTTTTTTTTTTTTTTTTAATTTGTTCCTCCCTTTGCTTTTTCTGAATTAATTTTTTCATCGTGAAATATTTCAAAGATTAGACAAGAATAGAAAGGAGCATAATGAATACCTATTTACCCACCATTAAGCTTTATCAAATCTTAACATTATGTCATATTTGTATCAGATCTCATTTAAAGAAGTAAAACATTACTGATATAATTGAAGCTTCCTGTATATTACACCCCCCCTTCCCATTCTTCTCCCTCTTCCTCAGAGGTAACTATTACCATGAACCCACTATTTATCATTCCTATGTATGTCTTTACACGGTTAGTACATGTTTATGCATCCATTAATACAACATGGCATTGTTCAGCAGGGTTTTAAATTTTATATATAAATTGTAGCATACTCCACTTATCATTGGATTCTCCATGGAATAATTCTACCATAATGTATATCTCCATTCTCCTGTTGATGAATATTAAGGATATTTCCTTTCTTTCTTTTTTTAACCCAGACAGTACTGGTGGGACACATTGTGGGAGTTTCCTTAGGGTTAAATTGTTAGAAACTATGCCCCCTAAGTCAAACTATGCACCTGTTTTTGTACGGGGCCAAAAATTAAGGATGGGTTTTATTTACTATTTTTAATTTTAATTAAAAAAATTGACATTTTAGGGGCACCTGGGTGGCTCAGTCGGTTAAGCAGACCGACTTCGGCTCAGGTCATGATCTTGTGGTTCGTGGGTTTGAGCCCCGCATCGGGCTCTGTGCCGACAGCTCGGAGCCTGGAACCTGCTTCTGATTCTGTGTTTCCCTCTCTCTCTGCCCCTCCCCCCACTCACGCTCTGTCTCTCTCTGTCTCAAAAATAAATAAACATTAAAAAAGTTTTAAAAATGGACATTTTAGCCATTTTTAGGTGTATAGTTTAGTGACACTGAATACATTCACATTTGCCTCTATCCATTTCTGGAACTTTTTATCTTCCCAAACTGAAATTCCGTCCCCATTAAACAATAAATAACTCCTTATTCTCCACTCCACCATTCTACTTTCTGACTACGAATTCAACTACTCTGGGCACCTCGTATGAGTGGAATCATACAGCATTCTTTCGTTTGTTTCTGGCGTATTTCACTCAGCATAATGTCTTCAAGGTTCATCATGTTGTAGCAGAATTCCTTCCTTTTCAAGCTGGATAATATTCCATTGTATGTATATAGCACATTTTGTTTATCCATTCAACCGTGGATGGATGGTTTTTACATTAAAAAATTTTTTTTAAATGTTTATTTATTTTTAAGACAGAAGAGTCAGAGCATGAATGGGGGAGGGGTAGAGAGAGAGAGGGAGACACAGAATCTGAAGCAGGCTCCAGGCTCTGAGCTGTCAGCACAGAGCCCGACGCGGGGCTCGAACTCAGGAACCATGAGATCACGACCTGAGCCGAAGTCTGATGCTTAACCAACTGAGCCACCCAGGCGCCTCAGCTTTTACATTTTTAATGGTTAAAAAATAAGAATATTTTGTGGCACATGAAAATTACACAAAATTCAAATTTCAGTGTCCAGAAAAAGTTTTATTGGAGCGCAGTCCACAGGCATCCATTAAAGTATTGACTACTGCTGCTTTTCATGCTAAAATGGCAGAGTTGAGTAGTTGGGACAGAGACTGCATAGGCTAGAAAGCCTAAAATATTTACTCTCTGGCCCTTTACAGAAAAAAATTTCTGAACCTTGCTCTATGATATGTAATCATTTAGAGGTGGAATGGTTGAATGGTAACTATTCTCCCCTCCCTCCTCCTCCTTCTCCTCCCCTCCCTCCCCTCCCCCTCCCCCCTCTCCCTGCCCCCTTCAACAACTGCTTCTACAACTTCTCTTTTTCTTCTCCAAGGGCCCAGATTCTTTGTTTAAATGAAAGCCGGGAAGGGTGCTTCAAAAGCATTGTGTGGTTAGTTATTTGCTGTATGACAAACAACTTTGAAATGTCAATGGCTTATAAGAAGTATTTATTTTGGGCTTATAGGCCTTCATGTTGGCTAGGGTTTGGCTGGTTTGTAGTGGGCTCAGCTCAGCTTGGCTTCTCGCTGTAGTTTGGGTCCAGGTCTGCTCCACGTGCCTCCTTGGGCTTGTAGCTAACTGGGGCAAACTTTTCTCATTGAAAAAGGAAGGGGTTCTAGAGGGTAGGTCCAGTGGCACGAGCACATTGCAAGTCTTTGCTAGTGTCATGCAAGCATCCCAATGGTCCAAGCATGGGGATATACACTCTGTCCACCGTGAAGCCACGGTAAGAATGTGGGTGTACAACGCTCCCACAGGGGAGTGAAGGTCTGAGACCAATAATCCATCTAGCACAGGCATCAACTTTTTTAGCTTCAGAACTTTTCTTCAAATAAATCCTTACGTGGAGTTTGAATATATAATATAGACAAGAGCGAAGCTGTTCTGATAGATGTGGGGGGTGGGCTGAATCCTGCCCTCTACTCCCCTGCAGGGCCTCCTGGGATGTCTCTGCAGAGTCTCCCGATGTCATGGACTATCATTTGACAACCACCCGTCTTCTAGGAGATTTCATGGAGCTCTTCCTCCTCCAGGGTCCGGGGATCTGAAGCCATGGTTAAGAAGGAGCAGGCCTTCCTGAAGGTTGGGTCTCAATATGGGATCCAGAAGGGGCACCTCCTAGAAACCAGGTATAGAGGATGCCTTGGGTCACACCTGACTGCCAGCAGAGCCAGACAACGGGTAGCAAACAACCCCGATTTGTTCCACGACTCAGCCCCAACCTGCTGGGTTGCTGCAACTCTCACTCCTTGCCTGCCTCTGACTCAGGTGCAGGAGATTGTTGTCTAATGGAACATCTGGCTCTCAGGTCACAGCGTCCTGTGGGGGGGGGGGCATTGTGACGCTTATCATTACTGATTTGCCAGCACAGTCTCGGTAGTGCCTTTTGGGCAAGTAGGCTGTTGCTATTTCTAGAACTGAGCCAAAGGCCAGCCCCTTCCCATGTGGCCTCTCCACTTTCTTGCTCTCTGCAGTGGCATCCGCTTTTATTCCTACAGGCAGGTGGAGGCAAGAAGGAGGTGAGTGAGGACTTAGTGTCTACAGAGGCTTTGTCATACACTCACTTGTTCTCTGTGTATTTATTTAGCATCTGTTATGTATCAACATCTGGGTTAGGCAGTGCGCAGATAGTGAGAAACAAGAAAATAGAGCCAGATACCTGCTGTCTAACCCACTTGCTGGTGAAGACTTGTTTCCCCCAGATGGACAGATTTTCCAGGGTGACTTCTGTATACCTGGTGTTGGCTGGCTGCTTAGACCCACTGCTGCTGTGCCCTCTTCCCAGCCAGAGCAGCCCTCCTGGCATCTGTTACTTTCACCCTTCCTCTTGCTTCCCTGTTTGAACTTAGCACTATGAGCCCTTAGGGCTGCCTTCTTCAGAGGCCAGCTCTGGAGTTGAAATTCTCCCTCTACCCAACCCTGCCCTGAGGCCTGATCTGGCTTGTTCTCAACCCCTTTGCCCAAGACTAGAAGGAAGTGAGCACTTTTAAGGCCAGGTGTTGAATTCTTCTGATGATACAGTTAGATAAAGCTTCTGGAATAACTCCATTACCTTTGTAAAAATTAGCTTCCTTTGATGAGGAAACTGAGTGATGACTAAAGCTACCTTTTCTGGAGAAAGGAAAGATTATTCAGGAGAGGGGCAAGCTCCCACTTCTTTTCTTTAAAAAAAAAAATTTTTTTTTAATGTTTATTTTTGAGAGAGAGAGAGCAAGCGAGAGAGAGCGAGCACAAGCAGGGGAAGGGCAGAGAGAGAAGGAGACATAGAATCTGAAACAGGCTCCAGGCTCTGAGTTGTCAGCTTAGAGCACGACACAGGGCTCGAACTCACGAACTGTGAGATTGTGACCTGAACGGAAGTCTGACACTTAACTGACTGAGCCACCCATGTGTTCCCCTTTCCTTTCCTTTCCTTTCCTTTCCTTTCCTTTCCTCTCCTCTCCTCTCCTCTCCTCTCCTCTCCTCTCCTCTCCTCTCCTCCTCTCTTCCCTCCCCCCCTCCCCTCCCCTCCCCTCTCCTTTTCATTTCTTTTTTCAGAGGCAGAGAGAGAAATGCAGATAGAGAGTGAGAGAGAATCTTAAGCAGGCTCCACACTCAGAATGGAGCCTGAGGCGGGGCTGGATCTCACACCCATGAGATCATGATCTGAGACAAAATCAAGAGTCGGATGCTTAAATGACCGAGCCACCTAGGCACGCTGCAAATTTCCACTTCTTATTTAGAATGTCTAAGGAACCATGGGCACCTGGCTGGCTCAGTTGGTAGACTATGTGACTCTTGATCTCGGGGTTGTGAGTTCAAGCCCCACGTTGGGGACAGTAATTACTTTAAATTAAAAGAATGTTTAAGAAACCAGAACCAGATAGCTATTGCCTGCATCTTTTAGGGGTGCCGACTGTCGCCTTCTATCTATCTCCTCTGTTTTCCTGTCTTCCTGTTTGTCTCTTCTGCCAAGCGTGACTCTGCACTCCCAGGAACAGAAATACACACCCAGGAGTTCATGACTGCCTTTCAGTCCCATGAACTCCGTACTTGTTTGCAGGGCTGTTTTAAGCAGTGTGGGGTCTGAACTCAGTTGTTGTCCCCACATGGGAGCCTTTACAAGACAGTAGTGACCTGGATTTTAGATATAGTGGAGCTACGTAGGCTCTGATCATTCCTTGGGAGCAGTGTCTCCTTGTTTTGTTTGTTTGTTTGTTTGTTTGTTTGTTTAAGTAGGCTCCACACCCAACACGGAGCCCAGCCCCGGGGCTTGAACTCACGACCCTGAGATCAAGACCTGAGTTGAGTTAAAGAGTGGGACGCTTAACCGACTGAGGCCTCCAGGCACCCCTCCTTGTGTTTTTGGATGTTTGGTGTTTGATGGTTAGCCATGGGACTTGGCATTTCACAATGTTAGGTCTCTGTGCAGCTTAACTTATCTACATTCTTGTTGACCCTTAATCAGTAAAGATGGTCTTGGCTTACCCACGGGACAGAGTTTGATTTATCGGATTGCTTTCTTTACTGAGGCTCAGGGGTAGGGTAATGCCTCCCCTCCCTTTTTTATTCAAGTATAATTAGTTCCAAATGCACAATATAATGATTCAGCAGTTCTGTACATTACTCAGTGCTCATCGGATGCCTTCCCCACTTTATATGGTCAAGAGCAGTCATCTTAACCTCTCTGACTCGCTTGTTCTTTGGCATGCGGGGGAGGGAGGGAGAAGATGCTGTGGTTTAAAAAACACAAGAGTATATGCTTCCTCCTCCAGATCTTCACCCTGATTAAATGCGCAACGTTAGCTTTTCCATGTATATAGGGATGCGAGTGTGCGTGTGTGTGTGTGTGTGTGTGTGTGTAAGTGGGAGGGTAGCATAGGCCACCAAGCACCTTTTTCATGGAACCATAGAGGGTTTGACAATGTTTGTGATTTTTCATTAAAATCTTGAATAAGAATGTAAGTAAGCCAAGGCAGGTAATACATGGCTCTTAGCACGTAATAACAAGAGGTAACATTTGTTAAGCACTTACTGGATGCTTTCCCTTATGTGAAATGCACAAGGCTTCTAATTGATTTGCATTATTATCATCCTTATTGACAAGTGGGTCACTCAGTTGGGAATGGCAGAAGAGGGGCTTGACTTCAGGTCAGACTTGGCATCAAAGCTCTGTAAACTCTGCCCCTTATTGGTTGAGCTGTTGAAATGATTCTTCCATTGGAAACTTTTTTTCCTTCCTGACAGAAATGTTTCTCTTAGGATGGGTCAGAGGCCCAAATACAGGCTTGTGGATCACCAAAACCCAAGAGCTTTCCACTCCTGACTCCCTGCAAAGCCCAAGATTCATAGCTACCTCTTGGAAAGTTTTGAAAAAAGAGGATTTTCTTGTCTCAAAGGTCCCTCTGGCCCAGCTGTTGAATGAGGACTCTTTTCAGTAAGTCATAATTCCCTTGAACTTCTCCCCCTGCTAATCCATTATTATGTTTATTTTTTCAAAGACCAATGTTTTTTAGGCACCAACTATGTATAAGGTCATTCCCCCTTTCTCCTCACACCAATGTAGGAATGGTGAAGTAGGTATAATTATCCTTATATTATAGTTGAAGAAATGGAGACGAGGACGCTCTCAATTTTGCGAATGGTGAGTGAAAACACCATAAGCCAAGTCACCAGGTGGGTGATTAGGAAGCATAGCTAGAGGATGATAGTGTTAGGAGGGGCTGTGCCGATCATCAGACCACATCAAAATCTCTTATTTCAAGGGTCAGGAAACTGAATGCAGCCTAGAGATGAAATGTCCGGCATCACACAGAACGTAGGAACGAGGCTGCTTTATGCTGTATATAAATAAGATTGTTTTGAGCTCAGCACTACTGACATTTTGGGCTGAATAATTCTTTGTTTTCGGGGGCTGCCTTGTGCATTGTAGGATGTTCAGCAGTATCCCTTATTTCTACTCACTCAACTCCAGTAGCATGCCTCTCCCCAGTTGTGGTAACCAAAAATGTCTTCTGTCATTACTAAGTGTCCTCTGGGGGACAAAACCACTCTCCCAGTTGAAGGCCACTTCAGGCCCATTGAATAGCAAGAACCTGGAGCCTCTTCCCTTGCAGTTTGGAAGAGAAATTGTTTTGGGGGCACTAGCCCAATCGTCCAGCACCTTTGGGGTCTCTGCTGGGGTCTCTGAACTCAGCCCAGAGAGAACAGCATTCAGAGAGCTAGGTTCAGGGAAAGTGTCAGAGGGGACACAGAATGAAAGCCAGACCTTCTGAGGGGTACACGTTATTCTCTCCATTTCCAAGATGAAGATGTAGATGTTCAGAGGGTTGAACACACCCATTGAATCAAGTACGATCTCTCTTCCACACGCCATAGGGAGCCCCATACGATACCCAGGCTGACTGTTCATTAGTATGTGCTCTGGGCCCATGAACAATAAGGTCAGGGAGCTCCTCTTGTGTATTCTTCATCAATTACAGTAGGAGTGTATTACTATGAAGTTGTGCTCTGGAAAGATAGATCTCGTCTCTTACTTGCTGTGGGCCCTGGGGCGGTTGGTTTTCCCGTTGGGGATTGCTGTCCTCACATTGACAAGATGGGAATGTCAGACTGCACCACCGATGAGCAGTCTTTTTGCTCTCCCCATCCACTTCCCCACGTTCCCAATCTTGACACTCAAACCTGTAACGGTATTTATAGGTTGAATTAATTTTAATTAAAGATGAGAGTAGCTTTATGGAGGAATATGTATATTCTTAAAATTTTTTTAATGTTTATTAATTTTGAGAGAGAGAGAGAGAGAGAGAGAGAGAGACAGAGAGCAAGCAGGGAAGGGGCAGAGAGAGAGGGAGACACAGAATTGGAAGCAGGATTTACGCCCCAAGCTGTCAGCACAGAGCCCGATGCGGGGCTCGAACTCACAGACTTCGAGATCATGACCCGAGCTGGAGTTGGCCGCCCAACTGACTGAGCCACCCAGGCGCCCCAGGAATATGTATATTCTTAAAACTCAGATTAACCTATTTCATTGACAGGAAGGATGTCAATAAAAATGCCCCTTTAAAGACACTAACATGCTAATAACTGGGCCTTTTTGAGAAGCAGCAACATGGAAGCAGATTTCTAACCATTTATCTTAAAATTACATCATGAGCCATATGGCCAAGTGAGACAGGCCACAGGTTAAGCATTGCTGGGCGTGGTCTCAGTAGTCTCTTAGGGCTGATGTGCATTTATGGTTGTTGTGTGCAAGGATAGCGCCCCCTGGTGTAAATCCTTAAGCTCCACCAAAGCTGAAATTTGTCCAGTTGCTTGCACAGAAAAGGGTGGAGGGGCTTTGAGACAAGACCAAAGTTGGTTTATCAAGAGAGTAACCAGAGAATCACATTTTTGGAAGCTTCCAGGAGGCAGTGATGTCTTTGCTATCAAAGAACATGGGTTTTGGAGTCAGACTTGGCTTTCAAATCACTGCTTCAAGGCTGTACGCACTTGGGGAAGCTACTTCTTTCAGTCTCATTTTCTGTACCTGTGAAGCTGAGATAATTAATACCCCCATCTCGGGTTTGTTTTAGGAGTGAAAGAAGGAAGTGGGGGTTGGAAGAGTGACTGAAGATGAAACTGGAAAGGTAGAACCTGATCATGAAGAGTTTATGTACCATGGCCAAGAGTTTGAATCTGACTCCAAGAGCAAGGGAACCAGAGGAAGCCTGCAGGCAAAAGTGACATGATGGCATTTGTGTGTTGGAAAGACAACTGGTGGCAACAGAGACAGTGGAGAAGTTCTGTGACTTTGGTGGTGGTGATGGAGCTGGACTAGATGGGAAAGCCATTTTGGAAGAAATGATGCAATATGGCGGCTAATGAGATGGAAAGGGAGAGGGTGCTGTCAGAAAAGGCAACATGCATATGTACAGCTGTTAACGTGCTTTCCCATAAACCTACTTACCTGACTCTCATAATAGTTTTCTGAGCAAGATATTATAATCATTATCATTTTATAGGTAAGGAAACTGATAAGGAGGTTAAGCCAAAGGCTATATATGTAGTGAGTGGTCAAATCAGAACACAGGCCATCGGTTCCCAATTCTGCCTCTGTCTCTTAGGTCACACTGCCTCTCAAGGCTCAGTGGGCAGTCCCTGCAGAGTGGGAAGCAGTCTGGGACCAGGGGTGGACGTGTGCCGGGCCCCCAGGTTGTACAATCTCCCCGGTTGCTAGGAGTCTCTGATAATTAGAGTCCCCAGGTTGCTAGGAGACCTGGGTTGCTAGGAGTCTCAGTTTATTATAGGTCTTGGGTTGTTAGAAGCCGCAGGTTATTCAATTTTTCAATTTATTAAAGGCTTCATGGTTCTCAAAGGCCCCAAGTTATTAGAATCATCAGTTATTAGGGGCCCCAGGCTCTTAGGGCTCTAAGCTCTTGAAATCATTGGGCTGTTGGCCCACCCTGGTTGCTAGGAATCTTAAGATTTTAGAGGCCTTCAGTTTGTAGAGGCTTTAAGCTTTTGAAGGTGTCACTTTGCTGGAAGCCTCACTTTTCAACATCTCCAGCTTGTGATGGGTCCCAAAGTGGTAAGGACCCGAGCGCAGATTTTTCGGTCCTGTGGCTTCCCAAAGTCATGAGCCAAGCACGTGGATTTCTTCTTCCCATTCAGCCTCTTTCGGTCTGCTCAGATGAGAGTCTAACTGCAGCTTTGGGTTTTCCTCCGGGGGTTTCCTCCTGGGTGACCTCCTTCAGCCCCGCAGCTGCATGGACCTGATTCATTCTGCTTGGGGTTCTAACCACTTAGGCACTGGTTGGAAGGCCTTTAGAGCAGAAACTTGGTGCGATTTCTAGATAAGCCAGATATTGAAGCACACTTGGGTTATGCTTCTAACATTCACCCTCTAGCTAGTCGGTTTTAAGTAATCTTAAATTAGACTTTGTGAAAAATTCCAGAGTTGATTGCCTCTTTATTTCCCATTACTTTACTAGCTTGGTCAGAACCAGTAAAACTAGCCTGTGCATTTTTCCTTTTGAAAACACTTTTTATTATCAAATAATTAGAGACTCACTGAAAGTTGCAGAAATAGTAGAGAGAGATCCCTTATACCCTTCATTCAGTTTCCCCCCATGGTTACATCCTCTATAACTATAGTATACTATCAAAATCGGGACATCCACTTTGGCACAATGTGCGTGTGTCATCCTATGTCACTTTATTCAAAAATACTTTTTAACGTTTATTCACTTTTGAGAGACAGACACAGAGCACGAGTGGGGGAGGGGCAGAGAGAGAGGGAGACACAGAATCTGAAGCAGCTCCAGGCTCCGAGCTGTCGGCACAGAGCCGGACGCAGGGCTCGAACCCACAAAGCGCGAGATCATGACCTGCTCTGAAGTCTGTCGCTCAACCAAGTGAGCCACTTTGCACCCTGTCTTATGTCACTTTATAATGCGTACATTTGTGTACCCACCATCCCAATCAAGAGAGAGAACACATCTTTATAGTCTCATCCATTTCTCTCCCTCCCCAACCAGTGTGTTTTTAAATGTACTCCCCTAACTGCTATTTGGTGCCTTCTGGGTGCCTCAGCCATTAATAGTTAAGGAAATACAGAGATAAACAGAACATACTCCTCATTCTGGAAGAGCTGGCAGACAGGGCTACCGTCAAGCACACTGTCAATTACAATGTAATGTGGTGGTTCTATGATAAAGAGAGAAAAGGTGCTGGGGCAGGAAAACAAATTGCAGGGTTCAGGAGGTAGAGTGTGTTGGGTTAGCACTTCCTGCAAAAGTCGCAATGCAAGACCGGTTTTGAAGGATGAAATGGAACTCTCTGGTGCCCAGGGGGAGAGATTTTTGGCCGATGAGTTTGGGGAAGAGTTGGTGGAAGCCTGTGGAAGCCCACAGGCTGGGGGTGGGGGCGGGCTGTGCAGGGAGCTGAGGCTGGAGAAGTGGAGAGAGAGGTCAGACCGCCAAGGACCATCTGGCTGCTGCACTGAGTCACCAAAGGTCTCATAGAGAGTCCTAAAGGTAAAGTCCTAAAGGTCACGTAGAGAGACCATTAGGACATCATCGCAGTCCCAGAGAAGTCAGGCTGAGCACCGGCCAGAGTGGCAGGAACCGAGATGGAGACCCATTTTTGACCTCTGGGGGCCATCAGGATGAGGAGGGAGAGTGTGGCAGGAATGAACAAGCACTGCTGTGAAGACGGATGTCTTCCCTTTTCCTTTGGGCGGTGTTGGTTTCCCTGAGAGCAAATCGCTGCGATGTAAGTCCCAGAAGATGAATGTTAGTAGAGTAATTCCCTGCTCATCCAGAGATCTTGTGACTTCAGCGAGGGCCAGCACAGCACAGACTTGGATGAGGAAAAGGCCTCTGATCGGTTAAAACAAGCTTCCTGCTTTTACTTTGCGGCACCACTCGGTGCCTTTACTCGGAGCTCATTTTGACA